AAATATGAAGATGGTTAAGGTAGTGTAAAATATGAAGGTCGTTGAGGTAGTGTGAGATATGAATGTTTTTAAGGTGGCGTGAAATATGAAGGTGGTAGAGGTAGTGTGAAATATGAAGGTGGTGGAGTTGGTATGGAATATGAAGATGGCTGAGGTGGCGCGAAATATGAAGGTGAATGAGTTAGTGTGAAATATGAAGGTGATTTAATTAGTGTGAAATATGATGCTGGTTGAGTTAGTGTGAAATCTGAAGATGGTCAAGGTGGTATGGAATAAGAAGATGGCAGAGGTGGTGTGAAATATGAAGGTTGTTGAGGTAATGTGAAATAATTAGGCAATTGAGGTATAACATCATACTGCAAACACGAACAAAGAATCCCTACTAGTATCCGCACTTAAAAATAACTACATTATAAGAACACGCTCTAACTAAAAGAGACTAGTCTATACAGGATTTTACAAACCTTCAAATAGGTACAAATTCGCTATTGTTTACAGTTTGACACTAATTCTAACTGGCATCATCCCAAGGTTATGTTTCCTGTTTCTTACACAATACAAAATTTAATTATCATATTGGCCAAAAGTGTTTGCTGCAGGCGTTAATTGCATCTTTTATCAACCGAATCTAAATTAAACCTGGAATTAAACTTCATATAGATAGGCAAACGTTCAACATTTTCGCATAAATATTTGGCTATTACAGTGACACATTTCTAGTAATCGCCCTGACACTTTCTAAGGAAGAAGTGGTACATCTATCTTCCATCTAGAAGTAAGTTTGCAGGACGTGCTGGAAACGATACTTGACAATAGACTTTATTAATACAAAAGAAAAACAATAATGCTTGAATCTGTGAAACTATTAAATGGTTTAAAATATATTTAAATGAAGGATATGCAATAAACGTTAGGGATATGAAGAAAGAGATACATGTGAGACAGCGCCTCAAGATCGTTCATTGTGTCAAAAGAGTATTTGGAATTGTTAATGTGACTGATGCATACGATAAACCTCAAGCGTTGTCCGAATGTATAGATGAGATAATATGATGAATGGTCTGAACTTATTGAAAATTAGTATGTCGACTTTTATAATATCCATCAGATGTTCAAAAATGGAAGTAATAATAAGAAATAAACAAGAAATAAACTTGGTTCCTTCCGTCTTGCTTTACTCACTCAGGCGAGCAAGACACTTTGTATTAGTAACTCAACCGATTTCCTGAAAGACAATTCAAATGTGTTATAGTATTTTGATAGCTACATTAGTAAAATAAATGTATGGTATTACAAAAACACTGAGATAATGTATTGTATTACAGTATCACTGAGATAATGTATTGTATTACAATATGACTGTGATGATGTATTACAAAAGCGATGTGATAATTTATTGTATTACAATAGCAATGAGATAATATACGTTGTTACAAAAGTACTATATGATAATGTATTGTATTACATTAGTACTGCGATTAATTCTACATTTACTCTTGATTAAATAAACGTAAAATTGCATTTTGTCACGAAAACATATTATCAGCCAATCATTCACCATCCAAAGTCCTACAATGGTCCCACGAGGCCCATGTTGACTCATCCTATTCTCTGTTGGAGGATGCCAAATATCCTTTCCTCTTTTATGTCAATCTTACTGGTTTATGAATGATCGTCTTGTACCACTCGTATATGGATCTAGCCATCTTCTTGATGATTTACTTCGTTTGCGCTTTCCGTCCGTTATTCCTTGCATTGTTGGATTCTCTAGTCTGTTGTTCTTCATTCTCAAGATACGCTTAAATTATCTCGTTTTCTACTATTTGTTGACAGTTAAATTTTAGTATCTGTCTAGAGTACTTCATCTCAAATGCGTTCAGCAATTCTGTATCTTTTTTCTCCAAGGTGCATGTCTCTAATTCACACGGGAAAATCGAGAAGACGCACGTGGCTAGAATTCCTATCTTATCAACAGACTTCCTTTCTTCCAGATCTCCCGCTGTATACTGAATTGCTCGCTTGTAGTTCACGTTGTATCGCGTCATCATAAAATACTCAGATATACGAAAGTCATTGTAATGGAAAGAAAGGGACATGTAGAAATCCAGTTAGAACTGTTGTGTCCAAAGTCGTGTTAATGGGAGGAAAGGAACATGTAGAAATCGAGTTACACATGAAATGTTATAACAATCTGACCAGTTCGTATATCTCGGAAGAAGTTTGATAACAAGTGATGACACATAATTCTTACCTATTTAATTGTAGTCGTGACAGGGTGTCTACAAAAGAAGAATCATTCGTTCTGTTTTGTTTTGTTTTTTAATTGATATCGCTTCCTCTTCGGATCAGAGCTGTCAACGAAATTAAAACTTATTGCTACTTTCAAACTTTCTTATATCTATATTTAAATTAAATTTTCCGATCTACCAATGTTTATTACCTTAAGGTCATAAACTTCATACCTTACAAAGAGTTCATTTTACGTAACAGCGAATGACAAACCTAGCCGTTGATTAAAACAAGTTTGAAAAGGTCACGATAAGTTTTCTAACATTCCTATTGCCGAGGCCATGGAATGAAAGCGATATTACAGTACTTCACAAGGTTCCATGATAAGATATTACAGTACTACACTAGGGTCCATGATAAGATATTACAGAACTACACCAGGGTCCATGATAAGATATTACAGTACTACACCAGGGTCCATGATAATATATTATAGTACTACACCACGGTCCATGATAAGATATTACAGTACTACACCATAGTAAGTGATAATATATTACAGTACTACATCAGGGTCCATGATAAGATATTAAAGTACTACACCAGAGTCCATGATAATATATTACGGTACTACACATGGGTCCATGATAAGATATTACAGTACTACACCAGGGTCCATGATTAGATATTACAGTACTACACCATAGTAAATGATAATATATTACAGTACTACACCAGGGTCCATGATAAGATATTATAGTACTACACCAGAGTCCATGATAATATATTACGGTACTACACATGGGTCCATGATAAGATATTACAGTACTACACCTGGGTCCATGATAAGATATTACAGTACTACACCAGGGTCCATGATAAGATATTACAGTACTACACCAGGGTCCATGATAAGATATTACAGTACTACACCAGAGTCCATGATAATATATTACGGTACTACACATGGGTCTATGATAAGATATTACAGTTCTACACCTGGGTCCATGATAAGATATTACAGTACTACACCAGCGTCCATGATAAGATATTACATAACAACACCAAGGTCCATGATAATATATTACAGTACTACACCAGGGTCCATGATAAGATATTACAGTACTATACCATAGTCCATGATAATATATTACAGTACTACACCAGGATCCGTGATAAGTTATTACAGTACTACACCAGAGTCCATGATAATATATTACATTACTACACCAGAGGTTCAAGCAAGCATCATAACCTGAAGAACAAAGAACTCAAAATAACTCTGGACTAGTCCCCCACCCTCGTGAACATTTAAGAATCTTTTCATCAGAGATTGCATGAAACGCTTTTATTTGTTCGTTTTCATGTGGACTTAGTCCAATGACTTTGTTTGTAATATGTAGAATAGTTAATCTCATTGGTAATCATCTGCAATCTTCCAGTCGCCACAAGGAAAACTTAAAGGTGTGTAAGGCTATAAATAATTGCACTCATTAGAAAAAAAAAATAATGCTAAAATTTCTGTTCTCAAATCATCAAAGTAAGCAAATAGGCCAATCAAGCTACGTCAGTTACGAGCTTATTGATAGTAAATGCAACCCCTACGTGTAAAGAACAAAAAATGTCGAAATGGTCATATGTATATTTATACCACATAAATTAAAAATAACATCGCATTTAAAGTGTTGGTATAAAGCAATTTGATATAATAATACTATTGGTATATCACATTGTAATCCGCCCAGTAATACGCATATACATACATTCTAGAGACAGTATGGAGTTGATTCTAGACAATGATGAATTTTCACATATTAATAATTAGTGAAGTTTGAAAATAACGATAAAAGGTACTAATAATCCTCATTTTCTAAATGTATTTAATATGGTGCACATTTTCATCACAATCCTTTCTGATTTCATTTCCCCTCCCCTCTCATTCATAGTGGACAAACTACGCAGAAATGTGGAGTGATAGAGAAATGGAATTTGGGCTTGATTATAACCTTAAAATAGAAATTACGTTAAGAAACGTACAAGGATATTGGTTGTCGTAACGTTACGTGTGCACTCTACCTGGGGTTTATATACACTGTTTATCAATGATACAAAGTTGCAATCCTTATACAGTAAATTCCTTGGTTATGTGGTACACATATTGTTCGGTATTACTGTTTGGTTTTGTTGTTGGTTTTTAAACATAATATGTGTTTGATATCATATCATATCATATCATATCATATCATATCATATCATATCATATCATATCATATCATATCATATGGCAAATAACACTTCTTTATTGTGCACTGGATTCAACAATGGATCACGTGTGACAGGGATTGATTAAGATAAAAACATATCATATCGAACAGAGCAAAACTTATTAATGCCTGAGTGCTTTTGACTATGAATGAGATTTTATGTGTGTGTGTGTGTGTGTGTGTGTGTGTGTGTGTGTGTGTGTGCTTCTCTAAATTTTGTTCATTAGTGAGCAGTCATCAACACAGAAGTAGGGTGTGTGAGTGTGGGTGTGTTTTTTGGATTTTTAACGTAACTTTAACAATTTTTCAGTCATATCGCTACAATATCTGTAGTGTGGCAGTTTATAGTAATATCTAGCACTGGAGCATCATGCCGCAGACATGTAGCATGATGTCCCACCCAGTCACAGTATCCTGACACCAGGCCGACCAGTCCTAACACTAACCTCTTAATGCTGAACGCCAAGCGAGTCAACTATTAGTACCATTGTTTGTACGTCTTCGGTATGACTCACTCGGCCGGGGATCGAATCCAAGACATTCCGCATCAGCTGCGGACGCTCTAACCACTAGGCCACGAGATCGGTCTGAAAATGAAGCTATGGCACAGAAGGTGTTTTAACATTCATTTAAGTATAATTGTCTTTTAAGTGAAACAAAAAAAATGTATATTGTACAATCGTTTTTCCATGCACTCTTTTTAAGGTCAGATATGTGCTGAGTAGTTCATTTGACCATTATGTTTTTGTGCCACAGACAGACAGACAGACAGTGACAGAGACAGAGAGACAAAAAGAGAGAGAATTATCTATGCACACATAGAAACCCATAAATCAGGCGTCAGCAACCTATGCCACGACTGTAAACTGTGGCATGCCCTACACTTTGGGAAGGCATGCTGTCTGTACGAGTTGTAACTTATTTGGTATCTAATCACAGGAACCTAAACAGGGATTATACAGGTGCTTACGCTCGAGCTACGAAAGAAAGAAGAAAAGCAGACTGGAACTATGAATCACCCCTTCTAATATTTTGAATATATTCGTAAAAAAAAGTCCTGATTTCCATCGACAACTTTCTCATGATTATGCAAGATTTGATACATCAACATAACGATGGTATGATTTGAAACAAAACTTGTTTGATTCTTACTTTAAGTGGATAGCAGATTGTATAAAGCACGTATTCATGTACATCAAATCAAATGAAATTACGCTTTACTTTAATCATCATGTTATCAAGTAGTACTGATACGAGCTGTAAGCCGGCACCTTAAGGAATCGTAGACTTACTCCACACATTCAATACATTTTTATATATCTCTGAATAATGTTTCTTTGTATTCTTTCAGGAAATATGGCACTTAAAAGCCATCTTCTGCTGAAATAAAATGACATGAATTGTGTATGTATAGACGTATTTGTATCATCGTATTTGCTTAGAAAAAGAATAATACTTCCCAATTACTATTGGGCAAGTCGAAAAAACAAAATAAATATGAATTCCAAAACAATAGTTTTTGACAGATTTTAAAATAAAATATAGTTTTAATGTCGTTGCTTTTTATATTTGTATTAGTTATTGTTTGTTTTGTTGCCTTTTATGTTTATATTTTATTTTGGATGTTGCAAACTCGATAGATCTGACAGAAGTTTCCAGTAATAAATAGATATAAATTTTATATATTAGTATTCATGGAGTCATAAAGGGTACAAACAATGGTCGATAATAAAGTAGGACAATTAAAATAAAAAGAGTCATGCACAAGTTATGCAGAGGAACGTGTGGCATGTGAGTGTACGTACCATAAGGGAGCAAATTAACGTGTGAGAACCATACTTATCAAAGAAACATTGCGAAGTGTCCGATCCTTGCATTTTTATGTTTCATTTCAGATAGTATCCAGATGTAATTACGGGTTTTATTAGCAAAGGGGTTAAGACTCATATGGCAAGATATTGGGGCCAAAACATGGACACCATTTGCGAACTTGAGGGTCGAACTCGAGATAACCAGTCTGGAGATACTTTTTAAAAACATTATATGTGTAATGTGCGAAATACAACACTGCATTACTCGCAATCAAGATCTACATAATAACTGTGAAACAAAAAGTTACTCTTCCTGCAATCGAACTATCTGGAGAGCAAACAGGAACATAGCGTGGAAACACTTTACGTTCTCAGAGCTATTATGCGCGTTTTCGAAGCTCGAATACGCAGTCTCGAAACAACTTATTAGAGACGTATTTTCATCGCATGCTATAAATTCTGATCTAGTATTCAAAAGCGATTACCGAAGTCGAACCTAAATATTTCGATCTCTAGTGGATCCAGTGAGAGATATACGATTAAAATCAGCTTTCTGATTCACTGGTTCAAGATGGCGTATCCGAACACCGAAAACGCACGTACCTATTGTACAGAATGCTTACTTGTTTAATTTAGACAACTTTATCAATTGGTTTTTGTACGATCGCACATTGGAACTTCCATAACGTACATTTGTATTGTCTCAAATATGTGATCATGCGACTGCTTTGATTGGCGCTCTCAAAACTGCATATTGAAGAACCAAATATGTTCAATCGAGCTTCGAGATCGCGAAATCTTTTTACCTTATGTCCGTATCAGCTTGCAGGGACACAGATGACACAGATAACTCGATTAGCATGATGGAAATCTTTATTCAATCAGTGATATAGAACGTGTCATTGAAAATGCCTTCTGAGTGTATGTCTCGACTTCGCGTAATTAAGCCTGAAGCTCGCAAAACATTAGGACTCCGGTACCTTGTCATTGACAAGTTTCAATACCTGAACTGAAATAGTTACATATTTTCAGTGATGCAGATGTTAACCATGGATAGTTTACTAGAATGATTGCTCGGTTGTATTGTTGTTGTTGTTGTTGTTATTATTATTATTATTATTATTATTATTATTATTATTATTATTATTATTATTATTATTATTATTATTAAACTTTAGTGATGGGGAATGCACAGTTTTTGACGGTTATAGAAAGGATAATTCTTTATTGAATCATCAGTAGTTTTCCAGTGCATAATACTTTGTAAATTAAATTTTCTATAATTTTCCGGGCGAGAAAACTGTTGTTTTGCTGTTTTGAAGTAGCATCAATACTGACATAATCAAATCCTGATTTGTAACCTCGTATTATCACCATTATTAATCGTACTAATTCATCAAATTTAAATTGACGTAAATCAACACCAAGTACATGATTTTTCACTTTAATTCGTCCGCAATGTCCACCATTACATTTAATGGCAATAAGCAAAATCCACCTCATCTCTTTATTTACGACTTGCCGTAAATATATTCAGAAAAAGACCATACAGGGAATATTCATAAGTCAGATGTCGTAAGCAAACATTTTGAAAAGCACCTTACCTTGACAACTGTTATTAACTGCGGTTCTGTCATATTGGCAGCTGTTATTAACTGCGGTTCTGTCATTTTGACAACTGTTATTAACTGCGGTTCTGTCACATTGGCAGCTGTTATTAACTGCGGTTCTGTCATAATGGCAGCTGTAGTAATTGCGATAATGTCATATATCTTTCGTGTTCCTTCAAATTGGCTTAAATCTCTAAAATATATAACATTTAAATTACTCCCAAATCATGGTTATAACATGTCTCAATGTCCCCACCCCCAAAATAAATAAATAAATAAATAAAATAAAATACAAAACAAACAACACCATTACTTCACCATTAAACATATTTGCTCCTTGGAATCAATTAGCACTGGTTGTTTATGGCGGAGCAAGCAAGAGTGGATTGTCCAGACATACGTTTAATTAAATTATCCCCTCAGAGGTAACGTAGTTTACTTTGAGACAGTGATTTATTACAGAATAGGGATTTTGTTCTGCTTCTTTGCATCTTTCTCCTCACTCTAATTATTACTAAACACTGACATATATGGGAAATTCTTCCACTCCACCCCTCCCTACCCCACACCACCGCACTCTACCACACCCCAATTATTCGGTATGATTTGTTCTTTCTTTCCTCCACTGATTCTGACAGTTCGGTTAGCAGTTTTACTATTTTAACGTCTGAACAGTGTAATTTGAAAGTTCATTAAGATAATTCCACAACATCTGACCAAAGGACAATTCTGGCTGCTGTTACATTTTCACAACTGACTGACCATAGGACAGTTCTGCTGGCATTAGCATAATTATACATCATCTGACATATGATAAGTATGGTGGGTGTCAAAACAGTTACACAATATCTAGCACATAATAATTATGGCGAGTGTTAAGACAACTACACAAGCTCTGAACATGATAATAATGGCGTGTGTTAAGACAAAAACATAAGCTCTGAACATGATAATAATGGCGTGTGTTAAGACAAAACCACAAGCTCTGAACATGATAATAATGGCGTGTGTTAAGACAATTACCCTGCCTCTGAACATGATAATAATGGCGTGTGTTAAGACAATTACACAGCCTCTGAACATGATAATAATGGCGTGTGTTAAGACAATTACACAGCTTCTGAACATGATAATACTGGCGTGTGTTAAGACAATTACACAGCCTCTGAACATGATAATAATGGCGTGTGTTAAGACAATTACTCAAGCTCTGAACATGATAATACTGGCGTGTATTAAGACAATTACAGAGCCTCTGAACATAATAATACTGGCGTGTGTTAAGACAAATACACAGCCTCTGAACATGGTAATAATGGCGTGTGTTAAGACAAAAACACAAGCTCTGAACATGATAATAATGGCGTGTGTTAAGACAAAAACACAAGCTCTGAACATGATAATAATGGCGTGTTAAGACAATTACCCTGCCTCTGAACATGATAATAATGGCTTGTATTAAGACAATTACACAGCCTCTGAACATGATAATAATGGCGTGTGTTAAGACAACTACACAAGCTCTGAACATGATAATACTGGCGTGTATTATGACAATTACAGAGCCTCTGAACATAATAATACTGGCGTGTGTTAAGACAATTACACAGCCTCTGAACATGATAATAATGGCGTGTGTTAAGACAATTACACAGCCTCTGAACATGATAATAATGGCGTGTGTTAAGACAATTACACAGCCTCTGAACATGATAATAATGGCTTGTATTAAGACAATTACACAGCTTCTGAACATGATAATAATGGCGTGTGTTAAGACAATTACTCAAGCTCTGAACATAATAATACTGGCGTGTATTAAGACAATTACACATCCTCTGAACATGATAATAATGGCGTGTGTTAAGACAATTACACAAGCTCTGACGACAGGACAGTTCTAGCAGTGTTTTGACTACTTATTTCATGGTTTTTTTTCCAGCTGCTGCCTGTACAATTAACATTTGTGAACTTACAAACCAGTTCAGTTCCATATGCATGGAAGCCAAGACTCTGTTGAGAACTTATGACACTCTTGTTTCTTTAAACTAGAGAGTGATAATACTATTAAAGCACATATGAAGCTCACATCAGTCTCGGCTATTTATTCCACTTTCTTTTCTTCTCTCCACTGCGAAAAAAGCGAATGCGATATCAATTTGT